CCTGGCACAGGATGAACTGTGGTCCGAGGATGAACCAGGATCTCGAGTAAAGGAGGCTGTTGTTCATAGGATCACTGCTTCATTTATTGTGTCAGTTGGAAGGTGTGTAGTGAATGAGGCAGGGGATTGCAGGAAGAAAAAGGAAGGGCTCAGGGTTAAAGGCAGTGGAATGTTGCCCTGGAGATCTGAATTCTATCCCTGCCTCTGTCACCTTACAGCAGGTGGTTGGCAAGATATGGCCGGCAGGGTGGAAATGGCCCACCAGGCCATTGGATCCAGCCCACGGCCCACCCTGTCACTCCCTGCAGCCCCCAACACAGGCCAATAGATACCAGGAAGTGGGGGAGCATGTGAAGTCTCCCCTGCCAGGTTCAAACGGTGCCTAGAGGGAACCATCCCTTCTGCCTAAGGCCCTGCCCCTTCTGGAGGGGGGGGGGGGTGGCAGAGCCAGTCCACAACCATGAACCAAAGTTCATGAAGTGGCCCCCCCTGCAAAAATTATTGCCCGCTCCTGCCATATAGCTGTGTGACACTGAACAACTCACTTAAGCCAAAAGGTGATTAACTGCGTGTTCCTCATTTTCTGGTGCCCAACTTGAGATCCTGGGGTCTGATTTACAAGAGTGCTAAACACTAACAATTTCATCAAGTCAATGGGAGCTCTTGGCTGCCAAATTCCAAGTGACTGGTTTGGTTCCAGGTAATGGAAACAGAAAAAAATAATGCTTAACTATTACTGAGGAAAACTGTTAACAATACAACAGCACCAACACAAAAGAACAAAGTGGCACTGCTGTCCATTAAACTGTTGGTCGGCATGCTAGGAATGAAAACGGACAAAAAAAGGAGAGGAAGACCTGGCTTAGCTGTGAAACAGAACCTAATAGTAGCCACTTATCTCACAACAGAGCAGAGAGAGTCACACAACACCACTTAAGGGCTTTATTTTTTAAAAACAAAACCTTTACCTCTTTAACATTCTGTAAGGTTTCAGGTGTAATTGTGAAGTCCACTGGGCTTGGCATCAGCTTCCCTTTCTGTGGCTGTAATGTAATGAAAAAGCAGTATTGATATTGGTCACTATGTATAAAGTGTACATGATGACTGCTCTAGAAACTGACCTAAACACTTTACAAAGTCTAACTTTAAAAAAGTCTTTAGAGAACTAGGCATATTTCTTTTCATAAGCAATTGACCCATTTAACGTAAAGCCTGTTAAACACTGCAAGACAACAGGACATGATTATGAAATGAGCCAAATACAAGTCACTGGGTGTTATAAAATAACCACATTTTGACTTTCTAATTTCTGGATATTCAGAATTATCCTTGCCATTACTGTAATAAAGCATGACAGAATTTGCTACTGGTACTTGCCCTGGGCATGTTATGCTGTAAAAAGTGTAAATCATAAGATTAAATGCTCTCTAAACAACAGTTTCAGGTGTAACTGTGAAGTCCACTGGGCACAACTTGACATACTGTCAAATCAAGAGCGTTTTTTTGTTAAAAGTTTTGTGAGGTCTGATGCAATGTGCCTTTCTGGTAGTAGAGTAGACTTCTGATAGTCTGGCACCTTTGGGACCCGCACTGCAACCAGTGTGAGGAGGAGAGGGTGGGGAAGGTCGGCGGGGAATGGCACGACAAGGGGCAAACTGAACCCTCTGCCGTTTTGCAAGGAGGCGGGGGAAGCCCTGCGCAGCTGCCAGGGACAGGCCAGCTGGGATTGCAAGCGGCAGCGGCAGACTTGGGGAAGCGGCAGAGCAGAGCAGCTGGGGTGCTGCCGGGTTGGTCCTGCAGTGCTGCCCCTCACCTGAGTGGCACTGCAGGACCAACCCGGCAGCACCCCAGCTGCTCTGCGGCAGCACTCCAGCTGCTCTACCCCCAGCTTCCCCAAGTCAGCCACTGCTGACTGGCAGCGGGCTTGGGGAAGCCGGAGGCAGCGGCGCTCCCAATG